AAGTGAGGGTGAAGTTACTGAAGTACCAAAGGCCTGCATCAAGTGCAGAAAAATCTACAGCATGAAGTTTGGGGTAGAAGAAAATTAATCAATGTTTTTCCATACAATATACTAGTCCCAACAAATATCAAAAAAAACAGGATGCTATTTCGGTACCATTGGAAAAACTGGAAAATGCGTATTTATAGTTATAATATACATATTGAAATGTTTAATATTCAAGAAGGATTTTCAACCCCACATTTAAAAGGCAATGCTCTGTTATCCCAGCTTACAAAATTATTCTACTGCTTTGATGACATCCTTGCTTTGGATACCCAGGGTTCTCTACCACAATGTCCATGACACAAATAAGTTACTGGGAAGACTGCAAGGTTCTCAAAGATTTTTTAAAAATAGCTAAAAAATAACAGGTCTTAAAAATCCTGGTCCCATTGACACCAAGAATGACATAGGTTTGGTGTAAGCAGAGCCTCTTTTAAAGTATAAGCCTTTGTCCATCTGTTCCATATATAAACATACATGCACACAGCAGGAAAAAAAAAATCCAACTTTATTATCCTTCAGCCTTCAATTACACTGACTATTCTTTACTATATTACCTGCCAGTTATGTGGGAGCTCCTACAAACATGCAAATATAAAAATTAATGAACTTGAGAGTTTTCCCTCATTAAAAAATAAAACAACCCACAACCAAAAAGAAGCCCAACCACCAAAAAACCCAAACAAACAAAAAGCACCCCCAAATCCCAAAAAAAAACCCAAAACAAAACAAAACTAAAACAAAAACAATAACCCCCACAGATGCATCTTAAAACACAGCCAGAAGGCTCTGGTTCTGCTATGAAACTGGAAGACCCATCAGCAGCTCCTAGAATCCAATCATCCAAAACCAAAAGGAAAATGGTATTTTGGGGGTGAAACAGAAAAAAAAGAACACTCAGACTGACTTCTTCCTACTCATGAGCCAGGAAATTAAGTAAATTATTATTCAAATTAATTAATTTATAAAAACTGAGAAAGTGAAGCTCTTTTAAGTATCAAGCTTTTGCCTCTCAAATGGTCCTAGATGGGACCCCACACTGGTCAGGTACTGTTCCAAGCACTGCTAATTAAACACAACTGAAGTTGTCACTAGTCCATTCAAGAAAACAGATGTTGCTTCATAGAGCTTTGATATTTTTCTTAAATACCTTTCAAAATGAGGAACAAAAAATATGAACTCTTATAAAAAGGGCTTTATTGTATTTTTATAGCATATTACATACCTTGTAACAATCATTCTGTTAAGAGTGAATGTCAGTTTTATTTTCTGTCCCTTTTTTCCTGGCTATTTACAAGCTTTGAAAGAATCATTCCTTAATTAAGTCTAAACATAGTTTTATATAAATGGATTCCTGGAATTAAAAACGTTCAGACTTAAGAAATGATTGTTACAGAGACTGTAACAGGTCGTAAAAAAGAATGCCACTTTAAACAAAGATTTCTCATTTTAATTAAAAAGATAATCATCAGAACATTCGTATAGTTAACAGAACCATTTGAAGCTACTTCGAAAAAATATCTACTATTCTATGCAGGCTTATGTAGTTTACTTTATATGACATTTAATGAAAGTCTCAGTTGAGCCTATCACACTCATACTTTAAATACTGTATCTACAGTTTCAAACACTTATTTGAACTTGAAAGTTACTTACTGAGCACCTCAATTTCTTGATCTTGGGTAGATCACTACGTGACTATGGAAATCCCATATTCCTGAATGCATAAAAGCAGAGCTTTCTATGGCAGGGGGTTTTGGGTGGGACTGCTGTGTGCATTTTTTTAGGTTAATGGGCACAGTCACCTCTCTCTGTAGCTGGTGCATCAGTCTCTTATACACTGTACTTTATAAAGAGTGTACTTTTATCAGTAGGACCATACAAAAAAGAAAACAGGCTGAAGTGAATGAAGGTTCCACTCTGGTGAAATCCTTGCTGCAGCTGCAGAACAGTGGACTATTTAATTTAAAAGATTGTATTTTAAATCTATGAATCATCTTTCATTTTAAAAAACCAACAAAAAAAAAAAACACCAAACTTTTGAAAGATGATGTGCAGAATACATGATGCAAGACATCAATTCACCATGAAAACAGCAGTTTTGTGAGCAGTTGCTTAGTACTGTGTAGCGTTAATACACAGCAATTTATTATCAGGAATAAATTAGGTCTTATTAAGACAGAGGTAAATTGAGTAAGCAAATTAAATTAAATAAATCACTTAAACCTTAAATATTATACATATTGTACCTGACCACAGATAACCAGGAAATTAGTACCAGATATCAGTTAAATGCAATACTGCCTCATTGGCAAGTAATCCAGCCAACAGCAGCCAGTGAGAAGGCAGATGCCTTCTACTCCCATCAAAAAGTTACACAAACATGAGCATACAGAAAAACAACAGAGTACTGTTTGTCTTTCAAAGCATCAAATGTAGATGCAAACAATGAAAATAATTTCATTCAAAATATTAGCACTGGATGAATCTTTCCCATGACACTTTTCTGTTAGAGTTGGACATTAAAATGAAAATCAAATCACCAGGTCCATCCTCCTTCATACCTGGTGATTCAAGAGAGCTGCTCAAAGTTAATGTCAAAAATTAAGTACTGACATTTTTAAGTGGAAAAAAATATTTTCTAGAGAAGAGTAAAAAAAATACTACCTAGAGGGTTGCTCTTCAATATGAAATGAAACTACCCCAAACACATTTCAAAACCAAAACTGTCTCTCCTACCTTTGATAATAGGCCTCATACCTCCAAAATGTATTTGATTATTTACCTACAATGCTCCTTGGGAAGCTCTCAGGAAAAATCAATAATTAATAGCAAAGCCCACCTCAAGCCAAACTGTGAGCCACCTAATAAGGAAGATGCAAATGAAGCACACCACACACTGAGATGGACAAGGTAATCCACTGTGAATGATTCAGCATAAGCTGAGAGGATGCACAAGCTGATCTGCTACCTCTGTGTGGATAACTGTATCAGTGCCATTACTGCAGTGCCCAAGGACTGTCTGAGTGCTACAAGGCAGAGAAAAGACATTTCCTAGGAGGGCCAAGATGATACCTGCAACTAATTCCTCGTGTATCCTGATGTATCTACCTGTGCAGCCCTTCCAGGAACACCAGAAGACCCCATCAAGCCTGACAAACACTTTACTCCATCAGCAGAATTAAAGAGTCACATTCTGGACCAATGCACCCTAAAGCAAAAGCCTGAGATGTGCTTAACAAGACCTTTGCTTCCTCTACTCTCAACCTGTAAGCAAAAATACTCTAAAAAGTTCAGAATGGACAGAGGAAAGCCAAATCTTTCACTGCATGTTTTACCAGCATTTTGCATACAAAAGGCACTTTAATAAAACATGAAAGAACATGGGTTAGCTTTCAGCTATCAGTGCAGCCTCTCTTGATAATTCTTCCCTTTATCAGGTGTTCTTAACAGATGCATATCCCAGAAGAGCAGCTTCATTTCATGGTTATGACTCTCCCCAGGGTCAGGGAGTCTATTGTTTGAGTGGGACACTGCCAGCTGCAGAATGGACAGGGATTCCCTCAGCCTCCAGGCCCAGTCTTACAGATGATCTCAGACCACCTGGACTAAGCCCTTGAATGAGGATCTTGGCACAGAGGGTGAAAAAAGTAATGTATGAGAAGTCAGCGTAGCACGTTCACGATGCTGTCTGGCAGCAGACAAGAATGTTTCAGCAGAAACTTCTTGGGATGTGAAACTCACTATCTAAAGGCAGGTTGTAATTAGCAAGCTTGGCCAAACACAAGTGCGGCAGGATCTGTGACACTCCTTTGGCCAATCCCACACCAAAGAGGGCCATTCATTATTACTAATTGCTACCTTGCATATTTAGGTGTCCATAGCATTTTTCCATTTTGCCTAGCTGAGACTCTATAAACCTGACAAACTTGGAGACTACTAGCAAATGGGTGAAAAAGTCTCATGAAAGAAACAAATTCGTCCTGATTAAAAAACAAAAGCCAAACAAGTGTTCTGAAGCTCAATTAGAAATTAAAATCTGCAACTAGAGTTTCCTCAATTTCATTTTGGGCATATGTTCTGAAGATCTAATAGAATTCCTTCTTCATGATGAACTCAAGTTTAATTCTGTGCCACTAGAAGCACTAATCCAAAACAAACTTTTAGCAAGTGTTGCCAGTCATTTAAATTATAGCCTTAGGGAAAGAACAGTTTGGGGCACCTGAAATTTACATTCAGTTTAGTTGGCAACACCTTGTTTTCATTTCTAAATTTTAAGTTTCTAGCCAAAACCCTTAGAAATATCAACGAAGGATGAAAAACAGAATTAATCTACAGTTTAAGTATACAATGCCTCAAATCTATGGAAATTAGCCATATTTGAAGAGCACCTTGGATGCATGTACTGGTTTCCATACCAAAGGCCAACTCAAAGCCTAAACAATGTACGAGCTCCCCGCAGTCACTATCACTGATACACTGCTGCAGCAGCAGGTGAAACACTCAATTGCCAGTATTTAGAGATCTCAAAGTAGAATGGGAGGAAAAACAAAATTACAGAGGGATAGTCTAAGGTGCACAAATAAAGAAAGAAACCCAAGAATTACATGCGCAAAGCCTGCCGGTGCCTGTGGGCCCCTCTGCCAGTTCCTGCCTCACTCCAGTTTAACTTCTCCCACTCCCAGGTGGCACCTGCAGCCCCCTCCCCCTCCTCCCAATTCTCCTTTTGCCCGGATCTGGGGACCCTGCTCACTGCCCTCCCCGTAGGCAGGACGCCTCCTCTCCCCGGGCCCCGCTCACCACCTTCCCCCGCCCGCCAGCCCAGCTCCCTCCGGCCCGGCCCAGCCCCGAGGCCCGGGTCCCCTTCCCCACTGCCCCCCGCTCCATCTCGCCCCTCCATCGACAGAGGTAGCCACCCTCCCCCGCCGCCTCCGCCAACCCCCGCGGCCCCTCACCATGAACTTGAGCGCCTTCTCCTGCAGGACGGCCTCGGCCGGGTCCATCGTCCTGCGGGGCCGGGCCGGGGCCGCCCCCCCGCTCAGTGAAGGCCGCAGCCAGCGCAGACGGGAACCTGCGCTGCCCCGCGCCCCCCCACCTCGCCCCGCTGCCTGCACGGCGCATGCGCCGCTCCGCAGGCCCACGGGAAATGGAGTCCCCGGCCGCGTCCCTGGCAAAGGTCCTACCTGCCGAATAAAACTACAAATCCCGGCAGGTTCCGGATCTGGGGGCACGCTGGGAGCCGGCTGGCGCATGCGTTTTGTGCGGTGCAGGGGGCGACGGGGGTTGTAGTAACGTGGGGCCGTGGCGATGCGAGGTGCGGGTCGGGGGTGACGGACACGGCCGCTCTGAGCGAGCGAGGGAGGGGGGGAGATGAGGAGGCGCTCGTCCTGCAGGTGCCGAGCGGGCAGTTTCCAGCTCCAGACCTTCCCTGGGGTGGAAGGTACGGCTGGCTCCTGAGTCACAGCCCGGCGCTCTCACATGCCCCGTAGGAGGGTCCCACGCTTTGCTCTAGCTGCTCTCCGTGCTCGCGCACTGCCGGCGTTCCAGTCTGTCATTGCTGCCAAACCTAAACAGAGCCCCGTGCACTGGGTGCTAAAAATGTCTGCTGAAAAGTCACCAGACCGAAGGTCCACGGGGGACGTGAAACAGGAAAATTTGCATCGCTGGAGTGGATCAAGTAGGCTGACATCATTCTTGAGAGATGTTTGTTTAAAGCCATCCTGTACATAAAAAGCCTGCCGTGGTGCTTTGGTGCCCTTTTTTCTAATAATGTTTCTAGATCAATTTTCCCTGAAAATTGGACCAAGTTTTCTTTGCTATACTGAGCAGCAAAGAGAAAAAAAATAAATGATCAGCATTCCTTGACTACCAGCTGCACATAGAGAGGAGAATATTTACCATATCCCCTCTGTTTCTCTGTTGCACACCCTATATGACCAACTCACGTGGAAGACATTGCTTCTAATCATCTTGTTTATTACATTTGCCTCATCTGTTTCCAGTTTTTCTACATTTTTCACAGTGCCCAAAAAACTGAATCCACATCGTATGGAGCGGCAGAGAGGAATTGCTTCCTGTGGTTTTGATACCAATTATAAGACCCCGGTAAGTTTCTGCTTCTCTATAGCAAACACAACACCGATTTCTAGCCAGTCTGTCATCTAGTAAAACATTCAGATTCTTTTCCTTGCTGCTTTTATATAATTTGCTCTGCATTTTGAGTGAAATATTCTGAATTTCTTCCTATTTAAATGCAAAGAAGCCAGCAACAAACATCAGCACTTGCTTACCCATATGTAGCTCAAACCCATTGTTTTCATTCCTGTCTTTGACACAGGCACAAAACCAGTATCTCCGGAGTACCAGTCCCTTCCCTCATTTTCTCTAAACACTCCATCTCCTCCAGATTTTCAGACAAGATGATCAGAGAGAAAACAGAGGATGCAGAGGATGTGCCCATTACTGGATTCCTCCCAGGGACATGTGACTAGGTGGTGCCTCATGATCCAGTGCCAGAAGTGTCTGTTGCAGCCAGTGACCCAGCAGAGGTGACAGGGAATGTCAGCCTTTGCAGGGTGTGATGCTGGCATGATCTACGCTCCCAGAGCAGTGGTCTAAGAGAAGGAGGAAGTGATAACCTGATGTTTTCCCTCTACAATCCCAGGGCATAGAAATCTCACAAATAAAGCTTCCATGTCACCAGGATAAGAAGCTTCCATGCTCTTGGCCGTTGTACTTTAAGCCCAGACTCTTAGCACTCAAATGCCTGAAATGCTTGGCTCTAGTGGGGCTGGGCACTTTCCAGACTGCTGACAGCACTGAAAACACTCACCACGATTATATAAATAACAGTAATTATAAAGAGGGAGTCCTATAATTACAAAGGGAGGGCTCCTGTAACAGCACTGAAGGCAACCAGGGGCTGCTGGTGCTTGAGGCAGGACTCTCCTGTGTCTCCTCCTTCCAGGCATCCTGCAGCTGGCTTGAGATGTAAATGGATCCTCCTGGTAGCAGTGTGGCAGGCTCAGGGCTTTGATTGCATGGTTTATTTGTCAATAATATCTGATGGCAGCCTAATTGTTGGAAAATTGGAAAGTGTAATGCTTCAGCATTAGACACCAGTGTCCCAAAGCCCTCCAGGCTGATTGATCTGTCTGGACTGTAACTTACAGGGGATTAATGTCCCTGAACTACGTGGAGCCAAAACTAATGAGTGTTTAGGGGCTGGACTTAAACTTGGTGGTAGGTCAGGGCTTGGTTATTCTGCCACACTGCCATCAGGACCCCACAAAGCAGAACCACTGCAGAGGGACAGGGCAAGAGCCTCAACCTTAGCACAGAGTGACTGAGGAAGGACTCTGAGAAGCAGCACTTGGCCCAGCAGGACTGAACATGAAGTAACACCTTGTTGTGGGAACCTCACCTGGATCTCTGCATCTGCAGCCTGACCTTGTGTCTCTTCCCACTGTGGGATGCTCCCTGCAGCTGAATGGCCAGCTGTGCACCCTCCAGCTTGCTATGTCCTCTGTGGCCAGAGGAGAGAATGGTCAGCGCACCAAGCTGTGACACCATCAAGGTGTCACACCACATAGCAGGTGAAGAGACATTGGAGAGGTCTGTGGTGCATAAGGCAGGGAGAAGGCACACTCAGCAGATTTACAACCAAACAAACAATTGCTTGTTTGAATTGCAGGAACTGAACATGTCTAGTCGCTGCTATCTCTGCCACACTAGAGCCACGCTGACCAGTTCCTCTTTACTTTTCCTTGAACCAGCAGCCATACCCTCCTCCCTGCCCTCCACCCCCTCGCTGCAGAGCACGTTGCATGAAATGAGCCCATATAGTGCTCAGGGACCTCACCATCCTTCCAGATGAAGGATGCTACCTAACAGTAAAGATATTACTGTGATTATTTTTGCAATAGCATATTGCTCTGTGCATTCTGGACTCTGCGGACCACATCCACGCCTGGTGTAAAGCCATGTTAATTTGCTGTGGCAGTCATTAATTGGGTAAGGAACAGCTGGTGCTTTGCTTCAAGTGAAGCTGGTTGGGTCAGTAAGTAAGTGGTTAAGTGATCTACCACAGGTACAGCCCTACCTTTCTCTGCACTGCAGAGGGGTTTCTCTTCTTGTCCCAGTGACCCACGGTGGAAGCAGAAAGATTTGGCCATGAAACATTAGGAAACTTTAATCAGTGCAGTTCCTTTGGGCATTATTGCCTGAATTTTTATATTTTGAATAATAAAGGATGATTTTAAATTAAATTTGTGGAGTCACCATCTGTGTGTGTTTGGCCTTGTTTTCATCTACTTTGGCAGTGCCTTGGCTTCATTCTTTCCAAGTTGGAGCAAAAAGGAAGGGAAGTGAAAAGAAGGGAGTTCACTGGTGGAAGAATCTTTTGTCATTCCCTTTGTCCTGCAAGAACTTGGCGGCAGCAGAGGCAGCAGCTGCTACTGGGGCTGTGTTTCACAGTGATGAACACACAGGCGATCTCTGATAGCATAAGAGCTTGTGAGAATGTGACAGGGACCCCTGCACCCAGAAACATCCCAGTGGTTCAGCTCAGCCTCTCCAGCCCAGCTTATCCCTGACAGCGGCATGTTTCACACAGGGCTCTGGCTTCTCAGCTAAAGGCTGTGTGCAGTGGCCTGGGGAAACTGAAGGCAGAATGGCTCCTTGCAGCCACTGGGCAAAGGGCTTTTCTAGGACAAAGGGACACTCAGTCATGAAAGAGCTAAAAGGAGAGAGTCCAAGACCACACAGTATGAATTATGTTCACTGATCAGATACTCATTACCTGGAATAAGAAGATACGTGCAAGGCTGCATGTATGGAGGGGATGACCAGAGAAGAAGGCTTGTCTGCAGAGAAACCACAGCAGTGTAAGCTGTAGATTAACATTTACAGGTTGAGTTGATTGTATTCCTTGTGCTGCTGAAAAGGGGAGCTGAATCCTCTCTCCTGACTCTGACAGCCACATGTTTCCTCTTCTCACCTTCTGCTGGTTCCAAAACCTGTTTGCTAGCACAGTGAGCTGTTTTAGTTCACTTTAGTGTCAGGAAAATTATACTCAGGAAATATAAATTAAACACTTTCCTGGCAAGTCAAACTGGCTTTTTCTTGTGACCACACAAATGGCGAAACTACTGTAAGGGCAGATGGGACCAGGGCAGGGAAGGATGAGATTGGTCCCTCTCAGTTATTGGGAGCTGCTAATTCAGCAAATAGGTGGAAAGCCTCTTCACACTTGTCAGGATCTGGTGACCCTCCTGGGGGTTGAGAGCTCTCCCTGCACTAATAGCATCATCACTGACTCTGGATGGCCAAGGCAGAGTGTCTTGGACAGGGCAGATGCTGAGCAGATGAAACCTGAGCTCACTTCCCAGTTTCCCATCTTACCATGGTGGCTGCATGATGCTGCTCCCCCACCAGATTCACTTGGCCACTGGGAAGCAGAAGATGCTGAAGCCTTGGTCTCAGTCCTCTCTATTGACTCTGTAGGTGCTTTGTTTAAAATATGGATTAAAATAAATCAGGGTGAAAACATTCTTGAACAGGTACTATACCGCCAGTTCAGCTTCCTTCCTAGTCTCCATGTCTTGCCAGAGGCCTCAGTGTGGAGCACCAGGCTGATGCACATGCAGAAACATGCACCCTGACTCCCAGCCAGACAGGAGCCCCCAGCCCAGATGTGGAATTGCCTCTTTACCCTTAAAGGAGCTCCTTCACTCTCTGAGGCCTTGCTATCTCCCCTGGGATGTGTCGTTTGGTGTTTGCAACACCTTCCATCAGCCTGTCCTTGACACAGCAGCAATGACAAATTCATCAGTCCTTCGGCAAATATGAGTCCAGAGGAGCATTGCTGGGAGCTCAGTGCTGCTGCCTGAAGGGTGGCAAAGAGGAAAGAAAGATTTCTTCTTAGGAGGACAAAAAATAAACCCAAACCAGCAAACCTGACCTGGCAGAACAAAAACAACCCCAACAAGTACCTTGTAGTCAGAACAGCCTTTTAAAGCCTCATGAATATTTAGTTTGTCCTCATGTAAAATATATGACTTTGTGTAAGG